GCGTACTGTCCGGGCGCGGTGCCAGCTCCGCTGCCCGCCCGTTGAAACGCCGACTGATCCGTCGTTATGAAGGTCTGTTGCTGGTACGCCACTGTGTGTGTGTGCATCGGAAATTGTAAATTAACCAACGTACGTGTAAAGCGTTTGAAAGGAGATGGGCTAGCACTTACCAGTCTGAGGGTGATAAGGGGTGGCAGTCGGATACTGCGGATGATACCTCAGATCGTCGATCTGATTGGGAATCTGCTGTATGAACTGCTGCTGCGGGGGCCAACCGGCCGGCGCACTGGGATCGACGGAGACCGCGCCCACGGGCGCTACGCCCTGATGCCAGACCGCGTTGCCGAAGCCCGCTGCCGGCCGGAAACCGGCTCCAGTGTCGCCGTAGAACGGCATCACGCCCGGCGACTGCAATGTGAAAATGGCACAAATTAATAACATTTCCTACAATTCGATAATAGCTCGGAGCCGCTGCTCTCGGGGGGCGCGCGTGCTAAACGATCGCATGGCGTCGCGCGTGGAAAAGTTTTAAATGGACGTGAACGAGATAGGACCCGAGATTACGGGAGGACTTTGCGCGAACAAGTGGCTAATACGCACGCACGACAGCGAGGGCGAGAGAGAGACGGTGAGAGAGAATACGGAAGAAAGGAGCGATGAGCTCTCTAAGCCGGGTTAAAACGCCTCTTAGTTGTAGTAGCAGTAGTAGTAGGAGTGGTTGGTAGTAGTCGTCGAGAAGATCGGCTGTTTGCGGTTACACGCAGAGTGCGACGCGGGGATGGGGCTCGCTCTCTCTCTCTCTCTCTATATAACTGCCTCTTGCAATCTCGATAAGATCGAGTACTGTCAAGGCACAGGGCCAAAAGCACAGAGGCCGGCTCTCGCTTGTACACGCTCGCTTTCGTCCAACTTCCTACGCCGCAGCCATTCTCATATCCCAAAGCTCTCGTTCTCTCATTGCTGCCTGGCAGGATAAGGGAATAAATCCTGCTGGCATCCTGACCTAGCCGCACGAACGTCGCTATAAGCACGTATATGTACGTCCAAAGTTGTTGCGCTTCTAGGTTGTTTTTTTTCTTTTGCTCTTTCCGTAAGCCCTCGTCATAGCTTAGATAACTACCGGTTGCTGCAGATAATTTAATTACAACGTCGACTCTTGCGTTCCATATTATCAATTTATATAGACATATGCGTGTACATAGACGATCAAGCTAGAAATTGCCAATATATCGGAAGCGCGCAAAACGAGGAGAAGAGCAACGCCAGCAAAGTCATCAAGCGGCCCATGCGATCGGAAAATTGAAGAGCTCGCGCAAACACGTATGTGTATAAGGTACGTCGAACACGTAGGATGTATGATCGCTAAATTACCTGTCTTGTAGTTCGCGCGCGGCTGCACATCCAATCAATTTTAATTAAAAACAAGCAATGGCATGCGAAGATCTAATAATAATTTTTCCGCCTTAATTCAGTGTATTATACGAGTATACAAATTCGGAGCAAGCGAGCGAGCGTGCGAGTGCCTAACGCAGCGCGCAAAGCACAAAGCTTAAAATGAGAGAAGAAGGGGCGGTAAAAGAGAAAGACAGAGCGAGAGAAACGGGCAGACATAGCGTAGAGCGGACCGAAGGTGTATATACGTGTGCGTACGTATGTGTGTAGAAGAGCGCGTACGAAGGGGTGGAAAATCGAAGAGACAACTTCGCACTCGCGCTCTATCTCGCTCTACACTATATATTTATAAGTTCACCGAGTTTACGGTGTCGTACTCCATTATACGCAAGCAGAAAGTGTCCGATCGCTCGAAAAGAAACAAAAAGAAGAAGGCTGCATCCTTTTTTTGTTGACGGGATATATTGGACACGGGAAACGAGAGAGAAAGATACGAGGAGTATTGAAAAGCAAAAAATGTAAAACGTTTTATAGACAGTCGATATGCACGACCCTGACCCTTAATACGTATGCGCTCGGTTAGCTGCGAGAGCAACAAACGCGCGAGATCAAAAAGAGAGACGAGTGAGAGCGAAAAAGGGAGCATTAAACCGCAGCTTTACAACACGTACACGCGCTGCAGGCACGAGAGATAGGCGCAGAGGCAGAGGCAGCGGCAGCAGCAAATCGAGAACGTCGCGCAAAGTGGCAACGTAGGCGCGCATATATAGCCGAGCGCACACGTCGAAATGGCTGCGCGCGCCCGCGTGTGCGTGTGTGTGTGTGTGTGTGTGTGTGGCGTGTGCATGACTTTCGGGCGAAAGAAGGGGGTGCAATGTACGTGGCAGTGGCGGTGGCAGCGGCCCATGGCGCGCACCCACGCAAGCACACATACACACACATAGACAAGTCTGTGAGTATGTATGCAAGGGTAGTGCGTTGGCTTGATACCGAAAGCGGAGGCGGCGGCGGTGACCGCCCTCGACGCGCTCTATACTGCTGCTGCTGCTGCTGCTGCTGCTGCTCTCAGACGCTCTTGCGAATCAATAACCGCAGGAACAGGAAGCCCCCATGCGCGCGTTAAAAGAGAGACGCCAGCAGCATCGCAGTAGCGGCAGCGCCAGCAGCACCACTGCCAGCAGTCAAGCACGTCAGAGAGATTACGCGTGCAAAAAAAATGTTTCGCTCTCTCTCTCTCTCTCACTGTGTCATGGCGTGCGGTAAAAGGAACAAGGAGTAACAGCGATATCAAAAAAGGAAGACAAACGTTTCGTATATATCGGTCAAGGCATCCTCCAGAGAATAAATATAGGCGAATAAAAAGGAAGCGCACGCGGGAGAGCTCGAAATAAAAAGGATTGTTGCATTCGGCTTTGTGGCTTTGTACTTTTTTTCCTTCATTTTTCTCCCACTGCTGCTCCTCCTCTTTTTTCCTCTTTATACTTTTCGCAACGCAGGATCGTGCGGCTGCTACTGGCTGTCAGCGGCAGCGGGTGGCTGCGGCGACGGAGGTACGCTGCGCTCCTCAGCGGCAAAGCACAGTTTGTGTTTGTGTGGCGTCCTTGAGGGAGCAGCTAGCGAGAGAGAGTATAAAGTTAAAAGGCCGCGCGCGCGGCGCGTCTGTGGCAACGGTGTGCTGCACAGCGCGACAGCAGCAGCAGCAGCAGTAGACTTGAATGTGCCACTCGAGGGGACGAGCTGAGAGCAACTAGAGAGAGAGAGAGAGAGAGAGAGCAAGAGCAAGAGACTCGTCTCCTGGCGCCTGACCCTGCGAAAGCGAAAGCCCCACTCGACTTTGCCAAGTTCAATGACGTTGCTATAATGCCACTAGCTGCTGCTATTGCCACTGCTCTTCGGGATGTTGTATGTGTACAGCTGTATGTAGCGCGCGAGAGAGCTACCGCTAAAGCCGCGCAAAAGCGAGAGACCGATTAAAGCTGCTGCCGCTGCCGCTATCTCGCGCTTTGTGTGCATCTCTCTCTCTCTCGCTCGCTGTCGATTCCCTTGCGGCTGAGCGAGAGTAGGATCACGGCACGCGCGCACACCACCGCTTACTCTTTCATTGTTGTTCGTACTACTGCACACTGTTACGAATGTATATCACATAGCTTTGGAATTGAAAGGACACGATTCCCAGGCTTTTCATTTTATCCTTTTTTCTTTAACGCGTCTCGTTTCGCACACTGACACCGTTAACATCGAGTTTGTACTGATCGAAGGTAATAACAAACACTTACCATTGAAACGACGGGTGGGCCGTTGCCGTTCCTCAGAGGACCTGGCTGCTGGGGACCAGCTGGATTCAGGCCGTCTTTAGTTTGCTGCATCGGATCGGCGTGTATGACGTTTTGCGGTTGCTGCGACTGTTGTGGCTGCTGTTGCTGCTGTTGTTGTTGCTGCTGCTGTTGCTGCTGCTGATTTGGCGGAGCTTGCGTAGGCGTCGGTAGGGACGTCTGTTGCGGTTGTTGCTGCTGTTGAGGCGGCTGCTGCTGAGGAGGCTGCAAGTTGCCGATCTGACCTTGTGGACTGCCCAGACTCGTTGGCGCGCTGTCCGGCGTGCTAACTTGTCGAGAGTTTTTGCGGTAGCTCTGCGAAAAGAATTTGAAAAAATTAAACACATTAGAAATAACAAAAATTGCTCACATTTAATTTTAGAATATCTTTACGAGGCGATTTGCGCACTTTGTCGATAGGGTTTAGCGAATGTTCGTACATACGCACATTGATACGTGGCAGGAGAATTTTATAAATAGCCACAGAGAACACATGCAACACAGACGCGCAGCCGTATAATGCGAGAAAGGAAAGAAACTTACATAAGCTCGACACCGCGACTACTATACTCGAGCGAATATGTGCGGCGAGTCGAGCTCGAAGCAGCTCATTGCGCCGATCGAACCATCGGTTTTCGCGAGCGTAAAATACTACGACCTGATGCATTGGTAGCGGCTGCACGTGAAAGTATTCTTCGATCTGGATCAATGTTATTGAATGAAACAATATCGGGCGAAATAATTTCGACAAAAGCGAGTAATAACGTATGTCGATCAAAATTATGAGAAAAGGAGCAAAGGCGGACAAAGAAAGGAAAAAAATTATGATCCGAGAGATGGACAATGTGAATAGGAAAGCCGTACACCCTCTTGTCTATTCATTCGTCAGAATTTTTTTCCTTCTTACCACGTCAATCATCTCAGTTAAAGTAAAAAAAAAATTGGATTGTAATATGGATAAATGTGCATTTGCGCGAATAGAGTCGCGATCGCGCGTGGAGGGGAAGTAAGCCGGCGATGAGCACGTGCTATTAAAGCTCATATATATAATGTAAACCCCTCTCCTCGTTTAAAAACGTTACATTATACCATCAAATGATTGTTATTGTGCCATATAAACAAGAGTCTAAAGGTGAACACTCACATACGCCGGATCGTTTTACAATTTCGATATCGAATTTACAGTCGACGGACTAACGTAAATGAGCAGCGATACGCGCTCGGCGCATGCATGCACGTTATCTTTTATATTTTTTTTCCTTTTTTACGATACTATCGCTGAAGCTGATAATCTTTGTATTATGCATGACTATAATACGAGCATCGTCGCGTATTATTTACATGTATTTTGGCTGTTTTGCACGTATGTTCTCGAAAAATATTTACAGTATTCGCGAGGTTATATACAAAAAAAGAGAAAAAATGCAATTAATGCAAGGTTCGATGAACCTCGTGTCGCAGAATTAGTTTGCTTATAGCTTTGAATTTTGCTCGAGCAACGTTTAACTTTATTTTTCTTTTAGTCACTATAGGAAAACTTTTTGCACATACGTATATACGTAGCAAGTAGAGGAGCAATAGTTGTACTACCGGCGAGCTGTGTGACCTGAATTCCAGGCCTTTTCTATGTGTACATATATACTGTAAACTAGTAGTAGCTGCGTTGCTATTGCGCAACGCTTGATGCTACATACACACACGAAAGAGAGAAAAAGACAAGAGAGAGACACTTTACACGGTGCACGAGCACCGGTCGTGTATACACACAGTTTACGTACATAAACGCTTGAAAATTCGCCGGCTTTTTTTCTTTTTCGTACGTGTATCCGAAGTACACACAAACTCGCCTCTTTGAGTGTCAATGATAACACCGAGCTGCGACGAGTCAACGAAATAGAAAGGACGGAGAATCTCTCGACGAATGGTGTAACAGTCCAAGGTCGTGTACAGACGAAATTCGAGTTTTATATGAATAAAAAATAAGCGTCGTTCACAAAATAAATATTCAAACTTAAAAGCATTTACACGTGAAATTACGAAAAAGGTAGAATTATTTTTGCAAGTTATATTATATTACTTCACATAAATTAAATGAAGTTCATTGGATGAATTGGTAAAAATGTATTGATCGCGTGAGAAGAAAGTACTTTGTCATGTCACGATCAATATATTCCACCCACGTATTTGTTTTATGTCACATGATAATTTGGGCTTTGTGTCACGTCAAGGAAACTACGCGCTTTTCTCAAAGCGGTCAAGCGATTACTTCCAAGTGCACAGAGCTCGCAAAAGGGCTTGTGTGTATCACAGCGTAACCGTAGTGTGTGTATGTTTATAGATGAAAACAACTATCGCTTTCTATAAATCGACGCAGTAGCTTGCTTTTTGCTCGTTGCTCCGTTTTTTTTTCTTATCCGAGCGCTCCGCGCGTCTCTTTTACTCACGAACCGAGTGTATGGAGAGAAAGAAAGAAAGAAAGAGAACCTATATAAGGTTTATGCTTTTTTTTCTCACACGAACACATACATACGTGCGCGCAATACACACCGTGCGAGCTTTACGATCGATACAGAGAGACTCGCTCTTTTTTCGTGTACAGTAAAATCACAGTATCAAATTCTCGGCTACTTTCAAAGATACTAAATGAAGCTAAAATGCACCGAGTCAAGCAGCACAACACTAAACAATATGACTGGACGCTGCGAATAAAAATCTGCGAATAAGCTATATAGCAGCCGGTCGTTGCACTCTCTGTCTCTGTCTTTGTCACTCTTTCTCTTTCCCTCTCGCGCGCTCAGTAGTCTGGCTTTATCAGTGACTTGCACACACAGTCGCGTGCACACGCATACACTGCGCGCATAGATAGCCAAACAACGACGCACAGCGACACTCACGTGTATATGTGTGTATACACTGTATATATTTACATACAAGCTCAAAAATGCACGCTCTAAATTATATATGTATGCGAGACGTCGGCATGCAATCTTGCTTTTAATATTATACATGCGCCACACCCCGCAGACGACGCCGGCATGAAGAGAGTGTAAACGCACCGCAGCAGCTCACATACACAAAAGCACACATGCACATGTACGCACGTACAAGCTCAAGAGCTTTTTAAAAAAATTTGTTTTCAACGGTGATCTATAAATATAATTTTTTTTTATTTACTTTTTTCTTTTTCTTTTTTAATTTTTTATCATCGTCGTTGCCTTATTATTTTTGTTTTGACTTTCACGTCTCACTCGATATGTATGCTCACGCTCGCGTATACGTTGTTGCAAAAAAGTCGAGGAGTCTACTGACGACGACGAAACGCGTCGGTTCCCTCCAGCGGCTCGCGTAGGTACTCTCTTTATATCCAGTAGTGTGTGTACGCGAGAGCTGCCAGCGCGCCACACCAGCTCCTCCTTCTCTTCTCTCTCTCTCCTTCTGTCTCTTTCATACGCTACGTGTATACCTATGACTATGGGCATCTATAGATATAGATGTGTATTGGTAGAGAAAGAGAGAGAGAGAGAGAGAGAGAGAGAAGCTCTCTTTGCCCCCCTCTTGGCCGTGCGCGCTTGTTGGCGTCGTCCGTCTGTCTTTTCCTCCCTCGTTTCTGCCCACACCGTACAGCCGACACCGACGATGACGACGACGACGATCGACGGCAGCAACTTGGCTGTCGCACTGTTGCGCTATATTAAATTTCGTTATTAATTAGTCCATACACAGTTCCAATTTACAACGAATTCATTACTCCGATAGCGATTCTCGATCGGTATTGTCTGTACGAAAGTCGGTAAAAAAGTAGCAGGTCTACCCGGCTTCGTAGGCCGTTGTTGTTTGGCTGCTGCGCAAACACATACATAAAGCACGAGCACACAAACGCAGGGCATACATCTCGTGTCGCACACACAGCGCAGAGAGCCAAGCTAGCATATATATCTCGCTTCTATGTGTTTTCTCTCTTTCCTCTCCTCCCTCTCTCTTTGCAGCCGTTTTCGCGCGCAGACTCTGACGTGCCTCCACCATACACCGCCGCTTCCCTCCCTCTTTTTCTCCATCATCCTATACATACATATATGAACGAGTCGTTGAATATATGCATTTTCAAAATTTCGCGACTCGGCTTCTCGACGTGGCCTGACTCGAGGCTGGAAAAGCTCAATTTTCTGCTTCTCGCGCTTGCCTCGAACTCGGTATAAAAGTAATAAGACCAGGCTGCATAAACTTGAAAAACAAATTTCTTTCTCATCGAACGTTCGGTCTATAATACTTCGGCGTATGGAGCTTTCTTTCACTCGCATGTATGGTAAAAATAAAATCATCTTGCCACGACCCTGAGTTGGCCAATCCTTTCAGACGAAGCTTGCATATACTTACATATGAGAACAAATACAATATTCTTATTTATTGACATATTCAACCTTTGCCAGGTGTTCAAACTTTTTTTGGTCCTTATTGATTATTATTTCGCAGAAACATTTCCCTGGTGTAATTTTCCGCGAAGGACGAGGGGTCGAATAAGAGCTAACAAAGAAAGCTCGCAAGTCACGTGCCGATTCGTTACGAAAGTTTGGACATATCGCAGGAGAAAAGGAGCAGCAAGGGGAGGGTAAAACCACAGAAAGTGGCACGCCTTGAGTTCTGCGAAAAGCTCCATCATATGGGGATATAAACTATATATAGACGGGTGGTACACAACGTTCTTTGAATCGTTTATCAACGAGGCATTGGTGGAGTAGCGCTAGCTCGCGATCCCGATGCACGTATACGTGAGCTCCGCAAAGGGCAACAAGTTGCCTCTCTACAACTGACACTGTATATAAGCTCTCCGCAGCCGCAGCAGCGAGTACAAACGAGAGTGAGGAGAAAACTAACGTGCATTTCGCTCGCTGGCGCGCGCGTGCCAGAGCCCAAACGGACCGAGAGAAAACGACGTCATCCCTTGGCTATGTAGCAACGGCATAGCGCATACGTACATTCTACTACTACTAGTGCACCGGTGAGAAACCCCTTTTGAGCGGGCGTCAACCGCTGCTGCCTATGTGCGGTTCTCTTTCGGTTCGAGCGGCGTCTTTCTCTTTCTCTCTCTCTCTCGCTCGCTGGAGCGCCGCACGCTCTACCAAAGCGACACACAAGCACCCACTCGACGGTAACGTTTCGATGCTAATTCCTCTCTTTCGCCCGTTTCTTTCGAGTGCGTGTTCACGCCACGGCACAGAAGCCCCGAAAAAAAGAGCGACAATCTACTTATCGCCGAGCGACAAAAGAGTCGAAGAAAAAAAACAAGAGTAATAATGCTACTGTGCAGCTATATTATGTACCGAGATACGATGACAAATGTTTCACATTATAAAAGGCAGTTTAGCAGTAGCCAATGCGACTTCCAGTTTTCGACGCTGCGTGAGGTCGTCTGTAAGATCTTCCAAAAGAAATGAACGTTCATACGAGTTTTGTTGAGCGCATTCGAATGTATCTTAACACGTTTTTTATTTCTTTCCGAGGCTGAAATATTTAATCCGTTCTTAATACCATCGGGTAAATTTTTCGATGACTTATTTATCGTGTATCTTATCTAGAGAAGAAAAAAAACTTGATTAGATATTCACGAAAAGAAGCTGCGAGGAAGATCACAAATAAAGGCGCATAAAAATGATGGTTAATAAAATTTATTGCAAGAAAATCCATTCGACGATATTAAATTTTTTTAATTTTCCTTTTCCTTTTTTAAATCGTTTATTAGCAATGAGCAAAAAAACGGGATGATTCACGACACCATTAATCACGTCAAAGTTTGAAAAATGTAAAAAAATTTCGGTATTCTAATTTATATGATAACGAGGTCTGCGCGCGCCAGTGTACGTATTATATATTGTGCCCGCGATGAGTACGTGTGTGTGCTGAAGCAGAGAATATGCGAGAGGAGCGCATGCATACGTTTAAGGTGAAAATTTTAAACATGGCGGTGTGCAAGAGAACGACCCGCAACGCAACGCCCGTCGATCAATAGCGCCTTGTTTAATATCAGTTCTCCAGCTCCTCTCCCTCTCTTCCTCTTTCACCATATAGGCAATTTCGAAACTCTAGCGAACCTTAAGGCTCTCTTGCCTCCTCTCCGGTGGCTACGCCGGAATTGCTTTAAAATTTTAAAGTGCACATACCCCACTTCGTGTACATAAATAAAATTTGAAATTTTTAAATAGTTAATTCTCTTTGCTTCTACTTACCCTCGTCGTGCCTTTGCCTCGACCTCTTCCACGCTCTCTGTATGCTCCTTCGCCCGTTTGTAAATGATATAGGTGCTGAAATACAAAAAGAAAAAATAACATTATTATCGAGTTGTTGATATATTTTTTCTTTCAATGCTGACGATATAATGAAAAAATAAGTCCGGAAATTCAACTATCATTATATCGTCCAGATTGGATTTTATATAGTAAAATCAAGGCTCGCTCGTTGTATCATCCAAATTGGCCTTGTTAACTTTAATAGAACCCGTAATAAAAGTATAACCTTCCTCGAACTTTACGACGAATTATCATAGTTAAGGCTTCGATTAAGCGCTGAATGGAAAAATTATTTCTCATCGAGCGAGCGCTCGACGCCTCAATTAAAACGGGTACAAGCCAAATTCCGACATTCAGGTTACAATATTGTTTTTTTAACGAGCACGCATTTTCATAAATCGAAATTTTTTTCGTTATTTCAAAGGTAAAATCGTACGAAAGAAAGCTGAAAAAGGAAAAGGACATACCGATCGAATGCGTTTTATCGTTGCCGGGCACGCACCTACTTCTGTTTCGCAGAAATCTACATTACCCTCGAAAGCACATTCGTGCACGCTACGCGCAGCAGTCGCCGATCGCAACTTGCGCTCGAGAATTACTTTACCGACGATTATTTTGTATCAGAAGGGACGCGCGGCGCTTTAAAGGCAAGCAAGGGTGAGCTTTCACTTCGTGTGCCGTACGAATACTGCGACTGTACGTAAACATATAATACGGCATCGAACGAAAAAAGAAAAAAAAATGACGATAACGTAGGCTCGTCATTCGTGATTATGAAACACGCAATTTTTGTTACGAATATATTTAATATCTTACTTGTGCCTTTACTCATGCAAGCTGCATAGAGCCGAATCATTAATGTTTCACAGTCAAACGAGCTTGTCGCTGCGCCACTGCCGGCGCGCTCTCATCGACAAGGCAAAAGAAATTTGCATGGCAGAGGCGCAGCAGCAGCAGCAGCAGCAACAGCAGCGAGAAAAAAATCAATACTACGCGTGAGATGCTTGCGTAAATCGCACGTACTTGCAGCAGCAGCAGTAGCAGCAGTACTTTCTGTCCGCATGCATTTACGCTCATTTTTTTACTCTTTTTTTCTCTCTTTTTCGCTCGCCCGAAGGCCCATCGCTGCGGAAGAGAGACGCGCGTGCAGCGTATGTATACGTTACGCGCATGAGAGTGCAGCGACGCGTCTCGGATACCGCGTCGTGTCTTTGTCAAACATGCATATACAGCAGCACATGCGTGAACGATCGTTTATGTTCTAATTCTCTCGTTTGAAAACCTCACATGTGAGAAAGGTAGCCGCAGCTATTATGTATGTATGCGAGAGTACGAGCTAATAAACGACCTACCTACCTACCAACCTATCTGCCAATCCACCCATCTAGTTAACGTTGAGCGTTGCAGATAAGTTGCGTACGTGTATATAGGTGTGCGAGTGTGCGAGCGCGAGATAGCGAAACGTTGGCAATAAGTACACGCTCGACAGATAGGGGCTGATGTGGTTTGTCACCTCCTCCAGCGGCGCATACGCACTCTCTCTCTCTCTCTCTCTCTCTCTCTCTCTCTCTCTCGCACACACTCATGCGCTCATGCTCTCCTCTCTGTGTGCTTTGTTTTCTTTTTCTTTTTCCTTTATTTTTCGTCCTCGTCGTCAGACACACAGCCTCTCTCTTCTCGCTTCTTTTTTTTCGATCGACCCCTCAGTAGGCCAAAACGCTCATTAGCCACGCGCGTGCATCCACCACCAGCATACGCTGCTGGCGCAAGGAAAAATCCGTGCGTGAAAAAGAAAAAAAAGATAAGAGAGAACGGGAGCGTTATTAATCGCAGAGGGATGATCCCGCATTATACGCGAAAGGGACACTTTTGCAAAGAGGGCCGGCGCCCCAACGTTTTATAACCGCACTTGAAAGTGTCCAGCCTGCGACGCGAATCTATTTACAGCTTGCGGTACACACGGTATAACGCTTCGATATGTACACACACAACGCGCGTCGATTTAGCAAGCTCGACGGCAGGCTGACGTTTCAATTCTCCGTACTTCAACTGCACACTACACTTTTTCATTTGGCTTTTTTGTCAATTGCATAGACCGTCAAAAGAAATGCAACGTTCATATACGTCATGTGGGTCTCTCTCTCTCTCTCTCTCTGTTTTAATTTTCGCGAGTCGCCAAGCGTGTCGGTCGCGAGGGCGCGCACCCGATGAATTATGTAAAAAACGTCGCATACGTGTCTAGGCTTCTTAAAGTCATATCCATCACCGTTTTCTTCGTTGTACTTTTTTTTCTTCAAGGCATTGCTGGCTTCTATATAGCGCGAGTTCACATAAAATGAAAATAAAAGTCATAAAAGTCCGAAACAATGAACGAAATTCCACCTTCGAAGCAACAACGCGCATATACACGCCACTGCAATACTGCGCAAGTACGAATAGTTGCGCGCTCGAACTCGAGGTATTTTTATGCGCACGTATAGCCGATACGATATATTATGCGTGTGTGCGCGTGTGTGTGTCGGGCCGGCCAGGAGGATATAAAGAAACGCGCGCAGCTGTTCCCGCGTGATTACAATTCGACGATAAGCTAATTAAAATATCTCGTGCGCCAGGATAGGTCGAGTTCTCTCTCTCTGTGCGTGTGCGTATGTGTATATGCGCTATAAATACATGCCGCGCGGCGCGGAGCAGCAGCAGCAGCAGCAGATGCACACACGTTGGCAATGCGAGAGAGCCTAGCCGAAGTCGAAATCTTCTCCGGCTATCTATAATACGAGCGGCATATATCCTTGGGACGCTCGCGCGCGCGCTATGTGTGCAATTAATGGCTTGCTTTTATGAATTTTATGAGCTACTCTCGCTCACTCGCTTATTATAAAAACGGCGCCTTTATACACGTGTATTATTTTTTTCAGCTCTCTCTCTCTCTCTCTCTCTCACTCTTATCCTGCGTCCATAATATATAAGCAGCAGACACAACACGATCGATACGTATTTATTTGCACAACATCGCGATCGTCTATCGGCCGCACGGATCTGTCGGCGAAAATTAAGGTTTCGTCGTCTCTCGCCGGCCTGCGCGCACGTTCCGCGTAATATTAAAATCCAAATAAAGAGAAGAGCCAAGCGTAAAGAGCCAACACACTGCACACAGGCTAAAGCCAATAAACTCCGGCGAAAATTCATCATCCTCGCGGCTGAGCGCGAGCGCACATGGTCACGGGTGCGTGTGTGTGTGTGTGTCTGTCTGCGCGCACACGCATTCCTGGAAAGTGATGCATACACCGCACTGCAGCGCTGCGTCTGGTGCTGCTGCTCCACGCTACTTGCACACACACACCCACACACACACACACACATGCATTTGTAGGTATACTGCGTGCTCATTATCCTACGAGCTCCAAGTATGCGTATGAAAAAAATCACGAATAATATGTTACAGTATACACATATAAAAGGCTCTTTAAATGTGTACTGTACACCCAGACATTCAGGATCGTATAATGCACGCACGCGAACGCGAATAATAGTTAAGATCGGGCGCGCGCGTCCAACGTTTGTTCATTTTCGCGGGTCTCGCCGCATTATTTTATTTTAATGTGTGAGTGGTATACGTATTATATATTATAAACGACGCCGTGAGCAGCAGCAGCTGAGTCATTTTTTTAAAAGTAGCACTCAACTTACACGTATATATACGAATATATACATACGCGCGAGTACATTCAACGCCTTATGTCGACGATTGTAAATACATACAATTGCAGCTGCTCGCATTCGCCATCGTACTCGCGCTCTTGCTCATGTGTGTGTGTGTGTGTATGTGTGTGTGTGTGTACGCACATATATAAGATGTCGACAATTCTTAAACATATAGTTGCCGAGCGATGTACGCGCATATTTGAAAAAATCGACGCTTTTTTCTCTTGTCTTTAATCAGCGATCCGATGCACTATGTAAGGACGCGTTGGCCGTTTGACAATTATCCACTTCAGAAAAGATTATGCGAAGCGTCTAGTCTCTCGCATCAATCTTGCATCACTGCGAAAGCATCATCATTCTACGTGCGTATGTATAAAATGTATGAGCGTCTACGACGTTTGGATCATGATTCGAGATGAAAGGAAAATTTGGAGAATAATCCCTTAAGGACGAGTACATGCCTCCTATACAAGATATTCCTATTGTTCGTCTGCGGCATTCCGTACAGTGCATGCACTGCTATGTATACACACGTACTATTGAGGGCTTTTGAGATATACAGCTTCGTGCAACGGTTCGGAGCGACTCCATATATACAGGAACAGCTGGTTGCTCGTCCGATAGCGCACACACATATAAGTCATATATTTTCTTTTGCGCTCTACGCACCGAGCGACGCCAGTGTGCGTCGCTTTAATTTCGACAATAATCCAAATTTGATGTATCTCGTGCTGTGCGTGTCTCTCTCTTGCTGTCTCGAGCTCTCCTTCTATATGTGCATGTGTATAGATGTCGAATGTGTACATATATGCGTTCATGCGCCGTGTATGCGCGTCTGGGTGTAGTACACGCAGTTTATTATAAAGTTTGCGAAAGAGAGAAAGAGAGTGACGACAGATGGCCAGCGACGATCGCAAACGAGCCGTTACTGTTATTAGAGGAAACTTGGAGTGCGCGCGCGCGCCAATCTTGCAGGTCATTACTTGGCAAAAAAGCACACAAGAACACGCAAAAATTAGCTCGAGAAATTCGGAAAAGCGGATGAACGATGTGCACATCGCAAACGTCCGACATATCGCAGCGAACTATATAATACATCGAAGAAATAATCTCGGAGCAGCAAGCCGTGTGCGCGCGCTCGTTCACCCAAAAGCACGCCGCCGAGTTGCTTTTGCAGCAGTATATACGCTTATATATAACGACCAATTGCAGCGCGAATCGATTTTTGACGCTGCGAAAATTTCGGAGGAGAGAAAGAACGCGCGAGAGAGAGAAAGAAACAGAAAGAATAATAATTTCGAATTATCCCCGCA